GAGAGAGAGAGAGAGAAAAGAAAGACTAAAAACTGTGGGCTTTTTGAGGCGAATTCATCCACCCAAAACATTAAATCTTGTTTGTCACTACGATTCGCTCGACGTTAGGTGATATGTTATCTCTTCTTTTTCCTATTATATACACCTTTCCATTGGTATTTCCCAATGCATTTATCATTATATATCGATCAAATACTTCGTCTTGTATTACCGTTCCATAAATAATTACCACCGGAAAACTACCATCGCAACAGAAGCAGCCTTTTTTTGGCTAATTTCGTGTTTTGTTCTGTCTTAGAGCCCATTTTTGCTCCGGAAATAACAAACCAAATCCTGTGTGCCTGAAATTAAGATCCGTTCCCCCAAAAGATCTGTATATATCTCCGTCCTCCGAGGCTTTTGTCATATGCCAGCGGTACTGTAATCCCGGCAATCGATGATGGCTCTCCCTAAGCCCTTCCTCGCCCTCCTCATTTGCCTCTTTGCTTCCCTCCCCCTCTCCTGCCTCCACGTCGACGGCTCCGACGAGCTCAAAGCCTTCATCGTTCACGTCAAACGCCCGGAGAACCTGAGCTTCTCCGTCGCCGAACAATGGACGGGTTGGTACTCCTCTCTCTTGAGCCTTGCGTCTCTTGAAGCGAACGACACCGACTTCGCACGGTCGCGCGTTATCTACTCCTACCGCCATGTCGTCACCGGCTTCTCTGCCTTGCTCACTGAGAGGGAGGTGGAGGCCATGTCGAAGTTGGACTGGTTCCTGCACGCCTACCCCAGCCCCGTTTACCACCTCATGACCACCCACTCGCCAAAGTTTCTGGGGCTGAGGCAGAGGATCGGCAACGGCGTTTGGAACGCGACCAATATGGGCCAAGGGGTCATCGTCGGCATCTTAGACACTGGCGTCACACCAGGGCATCCATCCTTCGATGACTATGGCTTGCCGCCGCCGCCGGCCAAGTGGAAGGGGAGATGCGACTTGAACGCGTCTGCGTGCAACAATAAGCTCATCGGTGCAAGGTCCTTCATCAACTACGACGCCGTCAGGCGTCGGCCCACCGACACGCCGATCGACGACGAGGGGCATGGCACTCACACCGCGAGCACTGCCGCCGGGGCCTTGGTAAAGCATGCCGACGTAGACGGGAATGCCAGGGGCGTGGCGGCCGGGGTGGCGCCGCGCGCCCACATCGCCATTTACAAGGTGTGCTCTGAGATAGGATGCGCGGGTTACGACATCTTGGCTGCCATGGATGCCGCGGTGGCCGATGGGGTGGATGTGCTCTCCCTCTCGCTCGGCGGTGGATCTATTCCTTTCCACTCTGACCCGGTCGCGCTGGGCGGCTTCGAAGCCATCAACAAAGGAATCTTCGTCAGCTGCTCGGCCGGCAATTCGGGACCGGATCCTTACACCGTGACCAATGTCGCGCCGTGGCTGCTCACGGTAGGCGCAAGCACCATGGACCGATCCTTCTTGGGCACTGTCAAGCTCGGCGACGGACAGGAATGGGAGGGCGCGTCACTGAACCCGCCGCGTAACTTCGACTCCAAAATGCTGCCTCTCGTGTACGTCGCCGGTGATGCGGCCGCCTCCCACTGCCTCAACGACTCCTTGAATGGTGTGGACGTCCGCGGAAAGATAGTGCTGTGCGACCGCGGCGACAATTCGAGGCTCGAGAAGGCTCAAGTCGTCAAAAGCGCCGGCGGCGCCGGCATAATCCTTGTCAACACTCCCGAGGACGCCTACAGCACCATCGCCGATCCACTAGTGCTTCCGGCTTCGAACGTCCCCTACGTTGTCGGACTCAAGATCAAGGCCTACATCAACTCCGCCTCTGCCCCCGCGGCGTCGTTGGTATTCAACGGCACCGTCATGCACACACCCCACTCGCCGTCGATGGCCTCGTTCTCTTCCCGCGGGCCCAGCCAAATCACGCCGGGGATCCTGAAGCCTGACATCACGGGGCCGGGCGTGAACATCCTCGCCGCGTGGACCATCCAGAAGTTCAACATGAACTCCGGCACCTCCATGTCCTGCCCTCACCTCTCCGGCATCGCCGCCCTGATCAAGAAAGCGCACCCCGATTGGTCGCCGGCCGCGATCAAATCCGCCATCATGACGACGGCGTACGTGACGGACAACAGCCGAGGGCCGATCCTCGACGAGAGACACCTCCCGGCCGACTTCTTCGCGATAGGAGCGGGACACGTGAACCCTCGGAAGGCCATCGACCCCGGTCTCGTCTACGACCTCACACCCCAAGACTATATCCCTTATCTCTGCGGCCTCTACGAAAGCTCTCTTGTCGAAGTTATTGTTGGCCGACCGGTCGATTGCTCGTCTCCAAACAGCATCAGCGAAGGAGAACTGAACTATCCTTCCATATCGGTCACTCTGCCGGCGAACAATCTGACGTCGGTCCGCTACAGACGGACAGTGACCAACGTCGGCAAGCCCACGTCGACGTACCGGGTGAAGCTTGACTTGCCGAAAGAGGTGTCGGTCAGGGTGACGCCAACAAAGCTCTCGTTCAACGAGGTGAACCAGAAGCGACGCTTCAGCATCAGCTTCAGGAGGAACGGAGGTGGATCAGGTGCAGTGCAAGGGCAACTGCTGTGGGTGTCAGGGAAGCACGTCGTCAGGAGCCCGATCTCCATCAGGTTGGAGTAATCGATGCATGCATGGGTCAAAAGTGCGAGAAACCCCTGCGGAGTTGATGGCTCTATCGACGCAATAACCAGAGAATAGTATATTTGTTCGTGTATCACATTCAATTTCCTGTTGACTTCAAGCTTTAATTTTGACTTTGTGCTCGTGTGTGTGTCTATATATATATATACACACACACACTTGGCATGAGTTGACCGAGAATAAACCGATGGGTTGACAAAATATCTCATCAAAGCAATTCTTTATTCCTCAACATGGTCGAACATTCTGTCAAGCCAAACTTGTGTTGGAGTTATGGCCGAGCAATCGAACGAAAACGTAGTCAAATGAGATGCATGACCACGTTGTGGATCGCGCAGTTCGTTTTAGTTTGTGTACGTGATGGAGATCGGACTCCTCACCTCATGGTTGACCGAAACCCACTTCAAGTAGCCCTGCGACCCGCCGCCGCCGCCCACCATCTTGAACGCTACGAAGAATCTCTTCTCTTGGTTCACATAGTTGAAGCTCAGCACGGGCGGGTGGACGCGCACGTACGTCCCATATGGCGCCCCGACCTCCGCCCAGTATGTGGACGCCGCGTTGCCCACGTTCTTCACCCTCCGCTCCACCACCGCGTAGGTCGTGTTGCCGCCGAGCGTCACCGAGATGGAAGGGTAGTTCAAGTCCTTCTCTGGGATACTGCTGACGGCGGAGCAATCGATCGTCCTCCTGGCGATCACCGAGACTTGCTTGTTTGCGTAGCCCAGGCCACAGAGGTAGGCGATGTAGTCGTCGGCAGAGAGGTCATACACCAGGCCGGGGTTGCCGGCCTTTACCGGGTTGACGTGGCCGGCACCGATAGCGAAGAGGTCGGCCGGGAGGAGTTGTTCGTTCACGATCGGCTTCCCGCTGTGGTCTACCACGCTGGCGGTCGTCATGATCGCGGACTTGATGGCGGCGGGCGACCAGTCCGGGCGCGCGCTCTTGATGAGAGCGGCAATCCCGCTTAGGTGAGGGGTGGACATGGAGGTGCCCGATATGACGTTGAAGGTGGTACCGGTGTAGTTGGAGGGTGGCCCGACGCGGAAAGGCCACGCCGCCAAGACGCTTACGCCGGGCCCGGTGATGTCCGGCTTCAGAATACCAGGGCTAGCTAAGCTGGGGCCTCTCGAAGAGAAGGACGTGATCGCCGGAGCTGGGGACGTGCCGAGTATCGTGCCCTTGAAAAGGAAGGCCGCCGTTGGATTGGAAGACGAGTTGATATAAGCTTTAATCTGATCTCCGGCAGCAAAACCGACATGCGACGCCGGGAGGACATGAGCGTCGGCCAGAGTGCTGTACCCGTCGGTGGCTTGGTTCGCCAGGATCATGCCAATGCCGCCTGCACTCAGTACGGTGGCGCCCTTCTCGAGCCTCGCGATACCTCCGCCACGGTCGCACAGCACTATCTTGCCCTTGACGTCGAAGCCGTCGAAAGAACCATTGGCGCACAGGGCAGTGGCCGGACTGCCGTTAGCTCCGGCGTACACCAAAGGGTAGAGAGCCGGGGGAAACGAGTTTGGCTGGAAAAGGGACTCTCCGTCGAAAGATAACCCATTGCCGAGCATTACTGTCACCCTTATGTTCCTATCCATGGTGCTGGCGGCGACCGTGAGGATCCATGGCGCCTCATTTGACAGCGTGCTCGATACTGGGCCGGAGTTGCCTGCCGCGCAGCTTACGAACACTCCCTTCTCGATCGCCCCAAAGGCGCCCACCGCGATCGTGTCCTCGTCGAATGGTAGCGAGGGCCCGCCGAGGGAGAGGGAGAGCACATCGACTCCATCGGCTACCGCGGCGTCCATCCCGGCCAATATGTCGCTGCTGGCGCAGTCAATTTCGCCGCAGACCTTGTACATGGCGACGTGGGCGAGGGGCGCCATGCCGATGGCCATGCCCTTGGCGTTCCCGAGCACGTCCGCCCCCGGCACGGCCGCTCCCGCGGCGGTGCTGGTAGTGTGGGTTCCGTGGCCATCATCATCGATCGGAGAGTCCGAGGCCACCGCTTTGCCCTTCATGGCCATCGCGCCGCTGATGAACGATCTTGCTCCGATGAGCTTGTTGTTGCAGCTGGACGCATTGAAGTCGCACCGCCCTCTCCACTTAGCGGGCGGCGGTGGCATCCCTAAGCCACTGAAGGAAGGGTGGTCAGGGAAGACGCCGGTGTCGAGCACCCCGATGATGATCCCCTTGCCGTAGTTCGACGCGTTCCACAAGCCCTGATGCATGAGCAACCCCAAGAAGGCCGGCGTGTGGGTGGTCTGGAGGCGGTACATGCGATCGGGGTAGGCACGGACGAAGCCGGGCATCACGGACATGGCCTCCAGCTCCAACTCCGTCAACCGAGCAGCGAAGCCGCTGATGACGTTAGTGTACATGTGGACCATTTGCACCTCCGACGAGACTGTCGCGACGAACGACCGGTACCAACTCTCCCGGTCGGAGGAGGCGCCGAGCGCGGCAGACTCCGGCGGTTGCACGTGGACTATGTAAGTCCTCCGTCGGACGCCTTCAGCAGATGTTAGGAGGAGAAGGGAGAGAAGGCAGACGGAGGAGAAGAGTTTGAAGACCTCCATGGGGGACTGGTGTGGTCTGCATGGAATCGGTGGCTGTGTGTATATATATATATATACTGGTGGAGTCAGCAAACGATGGTTTGGTGGAAGAGACGAAAGGCCGGCGAGTCGATGGAATCTATGCGTGGAGGTCGGACGGGCATATGGATCGGGTCAAGGAGTTGTCGGGTTGCGGTCGTCGTGGCTTAGAAACTTAATTTCGCCGGTCTTGGCCGTCGGTTTTGTTTCGTCCCGTGGCGATTCGAGAGGAGAGAAGTGATGTACAAACACATATAAGTTTCTTCTCCTCCCTTTCTCTCTCAACTCCGATTGATGTGAGGTGTTACGATGTCATCAGACGATAAATCTGCAGCGCTTCGAATGAAAACAGTAGAGATAGCAACCTGTAAGCATTGCAAATGGACACACTGTGGTAAGATTTCAAGGAGCTGTAACAGATCGTCCAAATTCTTAGTTACTTGAAGAAGCACATAAATAGAATGGAAGAAGGTATAAATTGTTCCATTATGATTCTTTCTGATGAGATAAGGCACATAACGACTGATAACATACAGTCCTCCTATACATTTCCAAACCCATATACAACTTTGTCTTGAGGAGACTTCAAGCAGGAAGCTCTATCTCCACATATTTCCAGATTATTATTGCATAGCACAAGTGATGAATCCAAATACATACACCCCAAACCCTCTCAATCTTCACAATGATGTAAGTTAAGAAAGATCTACAACTAGAGACTGCAGATGGCTGTGTCTGGATCAACAACTGAGAGTAAGAAACACATCAATCTTCCATACTGACAAGGATTAGTTGCATACGATTATGTGAACTATGCGAAGATGAACTCCAAAGAAGTCAGGGTTTGAAACCACATGTTGTGTACAGTTTCTTCCATTAGATCGTCTAGGATGGTTTCACATACCTCATTTGTGGTGTTTTCGGTTTCGAATCGAAGGTCCATCCAACTTCTACCTTCCAAGTCCTTCCTTATTACTTGATCTAATGTGTTTGGCAGCTGTATATGAAGATGCCTCTCGAGACCCTTGCTGACTTCTTGGATTAAGCTTTCGCCTCGAGGGACAGGCAGAACATTTTGCTGGATGAAAGACAACCATGGTGTACACTTAAAAAACCTTTCTTGTATCTCTACAAGGACTTCGTTAATGCAATCAAAGAGGAGCTTAGGATCATCTTGCAGGAAGAAAAAAAAGATCCCTATCTCATCAAACAAAGCTGGCTCAAGTAACTGAGCTGTCATATTCCATCTCTCTGAGAATTCATTAGTAAGGTCTGAGGCTTCCAAGAGTACTTTAACGTAATCGGACATAGCTTGATAGTCCTGAAGACAATCTCTGAAACTTCCGTTTACATCTGGTGATGCTATTACTTTCGAATAGCTCTCACGGTCTTCATAATTAACATCTGTAAAAGCACAACAAGTTCAGGTAAGCTTGTGCCCAAAGGGCAAATAAAAGCTGTTTGAACAAAAATCTCGATGTGCTAAATATCTTCTAGACCGTACAAGGCTCTTCTGGACTGGGCTCAGGGCTGGTAGCATCTTCTGATAAGAATGTTTCAAGAACAGATACTGGACTTGGTTGCTCTTGCTTTTCAGTGGTACTTTCAGGAGCCACTAAATTTTCTTTGAGCAAGGAACTCAGAGGGACCTTGGACTGCATCATTGTAAGTGATGTCTCCTCAGATGATCCCTAGTAGAATGTTTCAAGGAATAAAAATCTTTATATCAAATGATCTATTAACAAGTTTTGGTCTATAAGCCTACCTGCCCTTGCATTGCAGCAGATTCTTCACAAATTTCAGTTGCAACAATTATTTCACTTCTGCTTGACTCCAAGGGTACATCCAAATGGTTAGACCGGACAATGCCTTCAGTATCAGCTGCTTCTAAAATCTCTGTACTTCAACAGAAAAATCACATGTTTTATACCATGAGAATGCACAAAGAGTCATCTTAAGTAGATCTTATTTAAATATACAAAAAGACTACCTTTGTCGTTCAAGTCTTCTCCAATGCATGGTAGCTCCAGTATACTGGTATCAACCAGTTCTGTATTTAAGATGCGAAATTTCAAGTCATCACTTGGCATGCTCATAGGAAAAGATGAAAACTCCAAGTTTTCTCTTGCTAGGCTTAAGATATTGGTAGCACCTACTTGCTCCAACTGTTGTAGGGAGGGATTTCCAGTCCCTTCAGATGACATGATGAGGTCCTGGACTCTTTGTCGACTGGATGTAGGACATAATTCATTGTATCTAGGTAACGTAAGTACCCTCCCCAAAGATTCTGAGGTTTGGGTGGTTGGCAAACTGTCTTCTCCAGTGCCTAGCATCTCAGCAAGATGCTTCCTGGCTTCCTCATATATGGAAAACTGAGACCTTGAGGAAGAAATGTTGCTGTTGATGTTAACTTGACATTCTTCCAAGTCATTTTTCTTGTCATTTCGCTTATCAAGGGACAAAGTTTCAGACAGCTTCTCGGTATCACGAGAAGAACTGCTTGCCAAGCTTGCTACTGTACTCTCACTATTTATCAGTTTAGATGAAACATCTGTGTAATTAGACCTCACTGGAATTCTGTGTAGAACACCATCCATGGAGATAGCATGTCGTGCTTTTCTGCTCTCACCAATCATATGCCTGAGTCGTCTTTTAATTTCTTTGAGGGAAAAATGGGAAAAAATTCTTTCACCGTGTTCTTCGTGCCGTAGGACATGATGTGATTGGGGAGAAGAGCTTGGAGTAATTATAATAGAAGAATTTGGAATTCTTGCTGGGCTTGGCTTTAGAACTACTATTCTGTTTAAAGCCTCGGAATTTGGACTTCCCTTTGATGGTTTTGTCCCCTTTGACTTATCCTTGCGGAAAAAATTGTATCTGCTTTGTTTATGAAACAATTGATTACTGTCAGACTCCTTGCATTTTCCCAAACCATCAATCTCCTCTCCCAACAGCTGAACATTCTCTAAACCTTCATCTGATCCCAGTTTGGTTAGTTTCCCTACCTGAGCACTGTGAAAACATTGACTATGTTTATGAAAAAGTGAATTTGGATCATGAAGCAGTTGCATAAGTAACTCCTTATCTGAATTCAGAATATCTAATGCATCCATGTATTCTTTGGGATGGACAACCCATCGTCCATCGAGTTGTTTCTCAACCATCAACTTCTGACTTAAAATAGCCTGGGAAACATCTGCTAGGTTCTTTTGAAAGAAAGAAATCTTTTGATCAACATGACCATCAGGCTCACTAAGATGGTTATAAATCTTTGGACTAATATTTTCCAAGGCTGGAAGCAAGTCAAACTTATTGTCAGAATCAGCATGCTTTTGTTGGTATGTATAACCATAAAACTCCATCAAAAATGTGGCCAGGTCAAAGTTAAGGGAAGATCTTCTCGTTAGATCCATACTATCAGACTGATGACCATCCAAACTGGAAGAAGCAGCTAGATTGATCCCCTGAGCATCTGAACCTTTCAATTTTTTGCTTCTCTGCTTATAACTCTTCTTGGGATGGTCCTCAATTTGCAAGTTATCACGTGTGATCTTCTTTTGGATATGTTGAGACATCTCTTCCTCCATAAGTATTTTCACACTTGTCATCACCGAGTCAACTTGATCGTCTCTGATTTCACCAACAAGCTGAAAAATATTGGTTTCGTAAATTATTATCTAGAAGCCGAGTTCTGAAGTGTTAACATTTGAGAACTTAAAAGACACATTGTATGCAACCCTGACATAATTTTCATTTATTTTTTGCTATTATGGTAATTACATGAAAGAATCTTGACAACTGATACTTATGTGGTAGTTATGAAAGGAAATCAAGTTATGGAATATAATTTGTAGGTTTTTTGAAGGATGATGTTCCAAATTTTGAGGTGAGCATCATAGAAGCATAAAAACAGGATTCTTTCTTTAGAAGTTCCAATTTTGTTTGTAATTTATTTTATGTATGAATCAAGAAGCAATGTGAAGTACATTAGTAAATAGAAAGAACCTTGAATATAGATCTTTAAGAAGTTGAGTATATTATTTCAGCTAGCTCAATCTGAGGCTACTATCATGCTTCATGCTATATAACTTTATGAGTTCACATAATGAGATTCTTAAACTTGGCCCCTTTCCCAAGTTTTCCCTAATACATGAATTGGAATGTATTTTTGGTACTACCATTAAAAATACTTTGTACATTATACTACCCATGAAGATGAAAAAAAAATAGTTGATTTTCTATATTTATGAGTTTATATGAATCCCTTAATAGACCTCTTGAATAACTAAAACATCATTTGTTTAGTTTCTCATGGAATTGATAATGGATTCCTCGAGTGTTTGTTCATACACTGATGAGTAACATCCATATATGTATATCTTTTAATCCGAGAATATTAGACAGGAAAGCTAAATCTCTACTCATTTTTACTCAAGACAGGTATTTTTGCAACTTTCTCATGTCTCGGTCCATAAATTGGCTTAGCACCAACTATACCAGCTAAGCATCAAAGGAAAAAAAATGACCAAACGATGTCAGATGAGTATTAGTGCCAGATCCTAGTTCAAACAGAACTGCACATAGCTATACATTAAACTTAGCATCTATGCTTCAGTAAGACAGTAATGCTGTTTGAACTTCTAAAACTTTTATCAGAGCCACAAATTATCTTACAGAATTATGTGAATTTATCCTATGGATTTTGTATGACAACAAAATGCAATAAATAACAAACAATATGGAACTTCATATTGCCATAAGAACATGGTTAAGTATGCTCAGTTCACAGAAAAAGCGATGTCCTCAATTCCTGTAGAATAACCAATGGATAATAGTGTTCTTTCAACTTCTAAAACTTTATCATAGCCAATTTTCTTACAGAATCATGTGAATGCATCCTGAGGTTCTTGCATGGCAACACAGTTAAGCTATATATGATAAGAAAGTTATAAATTGACATAAAATCATGGTCGAATATGCTTAGCTAAAAGATAAGCCAATTCTGTCGAATAACAAATTTGCTAAACTTACACTGCCATGTTCATGTTTGTTTGAAGAACTTCTAAGTGAATCAAGCTTGATTCTCGAGTATCCAGTACCTGCATAACAATATAACAGCTATAATTTCCTAAATTTGAATGGTTAAACTAAAATTTTACTGCCAAGAGATAAGCATATTTTCTATGGCATATACAAATAGTGAAGCCTGTTGGACTTTTAAAAAATGTTATCAAATGTGAAGTTGAATCTTGTGTACTGTCACAAAGTAAAGGAATTGTATGTAAATCCAAGCTTTATTGCACAACCAAAACAAAAAAGAATGTCTCCTAAGAATCAAAGTGGTCATCAATAACTAACAAACACAACTAAAAATTCTTCAGAGCTTAGAAAACATAAGTTATCACTTAGCGGAACTAAGAAAAAGATTTATTACCAGTATGTCTATTGCTTTCATGCCTTTTGTCTGAAAGTAACTTCTGAGTTGGATGGCCCCGGCGGAAATCAAACAAGCTAATCAAACCCCACATGCATCCAGCATCATTCCGAGGTCGTGACCTTCTATTGGATCTTTTTGCCATAATCTAATTCCTGGCTTTGCTCAGAGGCAAATCTTCAGAACTGAGGAACCACTTGATTAAACAGGAATCTGAAAAAAAAAAACTGATAAGAATGAGACATAACAAATCTAACAAAGAAATTTCAATAAATTAAATATAAAGGAGAAACAATTGGTGCCAAAACGATAATATTGCTGGACTCAATTGTCATGTCAGATCAGGGAGCAAGCAAAATATTGCATCAACTTCAAGAAAAAAGATGTCGTAGAAACATTGTAAGAAGATAACTGTAAATGAAAGTTTTGATGTTATATAGGAAAATGAAAGCTGGATACATAGAAACTTGAACCATCTAATTGTCAAAAACTTTCACATGTTTCTTTGTCATCAATAATACTTTTTTAAGTGAAGGTTATAAAAAATTTAAAATTGAATAGCCAATGGAGAAAAAACGATGCCCTGAACTCTATCCTTAATTTTCATCAACATGCAAAGAATTACTTGGTCCTAAATGAAGTTAAGTTGTCTGAACTACCATGACATTCGAAGTACACATATAAGACATCACATAATTATGCATTTCACAAAATGTAAATAGACCAGAAGACTTTTCTTAGTTCAACATGACCTTCTCCATAAGTGATACGAATGAGATTTGTTAGATGATGGATGCTCTAATTGAGGTAAAACGTTCAGTATCTACATTTATGTTTTCTCAATTTCTCTATCAATTGTTCAGATGATTATCAGTTAATTTCAGTTTAGTTTTCAGTCTCATGCCTTTCAATACATTTCCAAATGAATAAATCTTGAGTGCATGATACTACTTGTATTGGTGATAACCTGTGTTATTTGCACTCTTTTTCTATTGGATTTTATGTTTATCTATACCATTGTTTGTAGCAAATCTTGTCTTTGACAACAGCAAAAACAAATGATAAATTCCCTTAACTTCCAACAGGAACATCAGACTATCAGTTTCCAAGATGATTGTACACTATATGCCACCTCCAAAAACACTGCAAATACAGTGTAACACATTATGTCCTTTATTTTGAAATAACACCTCTAATTGAGCTATAACTTTTCTTCTTCTTCTATTCTCTTTGTAAATTTTTTTCCTTTCCCCTTCTCATCCTATATTTGTTTTATTGACCTTTTTCCTGCATTGTTACTATTTTCAGTAAATTATGGGCCAATTACCCAGTTTACCCCAAAAGAAAAATAAAATTTCTGGTATGCGAAAATCTATTGGAATTATCGGAAGATTGGTCTGACACATAGAATCAATAATATGGAAGATAAACATGAACAGAGATGCAACAAAACCTATATTAAGTGAACTTACGATGAGAAGATTACTATGATTCTCCTATAGTAGAGAAATTTAAAGATTATTCACATTTTCAGTGAGATTACAGCTGAGGCATGCTTTTTCACTATTAAAATCATTTTAATGAGAGCACTTGTAAAAGACGATTAAAAGCTGATTCCATTACATGGCCTTCAACTTGACGTTCATTTCCCAACTTACAAGAATAATTGATCAAAAAACTAATACTATGATCAAAGGGAGAAAGCAATACCTCAATTAACAGCCAAAACTGAATAAGGAGAATTGTTACAGTGGCAAGCCTGGAAGGAGAAGAAAGCACATAATCACAGATTTCTAGACCTCCACCTCTACGCAACCGCTCGAGTCGTCAAATATGAGCTGCTTTAGTAGTCCTGTTGAAGAAAGGAATAAGGACTTCCTCTACCACCGCGCCAAACTCCACATGCCCTCCATGAGGAGCCAAACTCATAGAGCAAAAGCAATGGTAAGCTCAGGCCAATGGTTTCGAGGGTCTCTAATCTGAATCAGATTGACTCAAATTCCAATCCGAGCTTTGAACAAAGATGAATGGAGAATAGCAAATGTAAATACTTGGAACAAAGTAGTTTCCATTCTCCTCCAACCGGTAAGAGATTCAAGCTATATCCACCGAGGAGTAACTCGAGAGAAGGCAAAAGTCGCCATATTTTGTTGATTCAAAGCGACAGCTTCTCCATGCGAGAGCACACGAACAAAGATCAAGTTTTCGCATCCTTCCCACACTGTAATCGACAGAAGACTCTCCAAGATCAAATCTTTAGACTCCCTCCTCCACCCTCGGACGGTCAAGAAACTAAAATGGTGGTTCACCAGCCCGCAGAAACAGCGGCTGGTGGCGGCAGGATCCGACCATTAAAGAAGCGTGGGAAGATGGGAGGAGGGGCGTTTTGGGAAGAGGGTGGGGAAAAAGTCGGAAGCTTTTCGTTGGACCAATCGTTCGGATCATGAGAAAACATGGATAACTTCCACATCTTTGAACTGCCAAGTAACAATCTTCTCTCTCTCTCTGTAATGGTTTGTGTGCGAAGGGTGTTTATTAATTAATGGTTTTGGATTTTTCCTTTTTTTTTTGCTTCTGTCTTCTCCCCCTGTTTTTCGTATATTATGACGAAGGGTTAGTAGGACAGAGGAGAAGACATCGATGGTAATTCTGTTCATGTGATGCCAGCGTAGTGAGTTTTACAGGATCTTCCGAAAATATCCTCACTTGGTTTTACCGTATCAATGTGCTTCGATATTGACTGTTGACAGCCATGAAACAGATAAGATTTTCTTTGCCGAAATAGATCCATGTTTTTTTCCTTTATGAGATTGTGAAGCACTCAGGACTTGGAAATATCTGCTATCACCAATGTTCACGAAGGAAGTCATTGATTAGATTTAATGACGGTTGCTACGAGCGAGTGGGGTATTCCAGGAAGAAGAATGTGCAGCCAAGAGAATAAGAAAAAAAAGAAAGAAAAAAAAGGAAAGAAAAGGACAATCATGTCGTGACTTCAGTCGTCTGGTGAAGAAAGGCAATTCTGCACGCCGACGGTGTGGCATCAGACGGCAGCACCTATTTGATTTACAACCTATCAGAATGACGATGCGACGATGAGCACCCAACCGTTGACCATTTGTATTCTTCGGCCAAGTAATATCGATTATCAGATATAAATTAATAAGCCACATTATTCTTTTCACAGGGATAAATTACAAAAATAAGTCTCCATAAAAAATTAAAGGAATTATCCGCAAGAATATTAAGTACATATGCCATTTCATCGAGGACAAAGGATCATCTCGTTGTATCTTATATCACTAGAATTTATCTGTTTCGCAAAGTTTAAGATTAATTAATAGTGTTGAAAAATAGCTTGACCAACATGAGTCATGACGATGATGATAGTGATGTTGCTTGGTTTGTGGCACTCGGACCGAGCATGGAGTTGGCCATTCTTCAAGATCATGCCCCCACAGACGGGTATGCCCCTAAATAGAAGGAACAACTTACCCCAACCCGGCCACTATACGGGAGGTTTAGGAGACTGACGATCCACAATCAAGAATCGCAATCAATCAATCACCATCGGTGATGGTCATCTTTAGGTGATATTTCACCGTCTTGTTTGTATATTGAGATGCTACGATAGTTATTTCAAGATGATGACAATTATAGAAGTTTCAAGGTCCACGATGGCTGGCCTACCAGGATTGTTTCTAGTATTTAGACATGTATGTCTTGGTGAATTAAGTTGCAGATTAGGTTAACAAAAAGCAATAGAGAGAAGAGAGGAGAGACAAGAAAGGTTCTTATTCTTTGCACTGTTGTCTCGTTTGCAGGAAATTTATAATAAATGCAAAAGAACAGATGCGGTTCCGTTTTCGTGATATTTTAACTAAAGGTGGAGATAGGTGGTCATCATCAGCATAGCTTTCGGTTTGCCTTCCCCACCATATGCGGCCTTAAACGTAACTCGATGCGTTGAAGTTTGATAAACAAGGCAAGAGAGAAGATTCCACCATGGTCGCAGGAATGAGCCCTGCTCTTCTTCTTCCTCCAAGAGTTAATTCTGTAAAGCGAAGGGATGCCTAAATAATGGCCTGTTTTTTATAATTCCACACGTCTCTACCTCACCGGGATTTCTTATTTCTGTACCTTCTTCTACACTCCATCCGTTCGGTCTCTTGGTTTAGCAGCATTGATATGGTGAATTATAGCTGGCAATCGTTGATCATAAATAGTCAATTGATCTGCTAACTTTATACTTGCTAAAATTGTTGGATAAACCAATCAGTTAAAAGTCAACATTGATTATGTTGAGCACTATCGCAATAATATTACTTCACGACATTTTAGTATTTAGTGGTTTAAAACTACTCCAAAGGAGCATGTGAATCAATAACTATGCTATTATCTCGGATCAACCACGATCTCAGACTCATTAAGGTCTCAACCCTCCTGTTAGTGGAGATGACATGATGGTGTGAGTGATCGGCCAAGCGAATTGGAGAGGAAGATGCTTAGCCGAACTACGCAAGATTTTGATCCTTAAAGCGTTCACGGGGACATGAGCCACTCACATCACGCTCAGTCCTAACTACTGACAACCAACCGTCACCCACTACAGGAAAGGAAGACTTTAACTCCTCATGGGAAACAGCAAAGATTTCCAACGCACCAGCTAGTATAGGAAGCTGGCAGAGTAAAGCACCATCTTTCCTCGCCGATCTTCACCAAACCAACATCATGTTCATGGGCAGATGAGAAATCAGTCGTATCAATCCATTTTCTCGGACGCCAGCCATAATAAAAGGGAGGCCACTTCTAAACTGAGTAGTTGTAAATCTGTTTTTTCGGTACGAGAAAACTGAGGCTCGGTGAAAGTGAGTGGTGCTACACAAGTAATGTCTCCATGTCCATTATGAGGAGGAAAGTAGATTGAGTTGTACCAGCAGTTTTGCTTGTCCTGGCCAATGCCCTTTCTATCATATCGGTACCGAATCCCACCGACTAGATTGCACTAACCTGAACTGTATCCCTAATTCCGTGTCTTACTTTAATCATTGTAGCTGCATTCTTTCCTAACACCCTCAAAGATTGTCTTTAACTGTTTTGATATGCATTAAATAAAAGACGAAAATCCTGAGTTATTCCTGGTGTTGTGGGGTCCTAGTCTAGTTAAAAGGTGATTGTAGCTGCTTACGGTTTGTACCAATGGCAACAACTTTATGCATGTCTTATCTAAAACATGAAAAGCTAAGTCTAATTTTGAAAAAATCAAATGACTTCTGTTGAACAAATAGCTTAATTTGGTTTAAGTTCATCTACAATTCTCTTTGACCAAATCATTAGCCTCCAGCCAAGAACAACATATCAAAGAAGAAGAAAACATATAAGATAAAATAAATGTTGTATTCTCAAATAACAAATGGGCCAGATCTAGCGGATAGTGACGTTCTAAAAAGGACTCTGTTAACCAATGATAGATAGAGAGAAGCTAATTATCCTGGCTGGACTGGCTCTCCTACTGACCGTACTGGTTAGTGTCGGCAGAGCGCAGAGTACCTCATTGTCATCAATGGGGAGGAAGAAGCAAGAAGCTTGATCTAGACCACCTACCAACGGTCACATTAAACTAGAGCCGTTTGTGCTTCCTTATCAGGTTTAGTGTATCTGTGGCCGGACTATTCATAACAAATCCAAGGTATTCAGTGGTACTGAATTATCAAACCAATAGACAAGACACAGTTGTTGCTGTCTAAATTGGCAGGGAATGGGTCACGTTTCAAGTGGTTAGAACGTTGAACTATATTTTAAAGACCATTTCTAAATATTTGGATGCCTAAATGCGAAGTCATCTAAAACACATTTTCAATGCCCCACTGGTAGCTTTCAGGTCGTAATGGTGGATGCACCAGCTACGGCTCCTTTAGCTTTTTGTTCAGTGAGGGCCAAAAGGAAGAAGGAATCAAGAGGCTGGTGTGAGTGTGATGGGAGCAGGACTAGACTTTCACAAGATGTCCTGTTTTGCCCAATCTACAGTGGAAATTATGGCTCTTAGGACCACTTGTGGATGTGATCGGTCGAGCACTTTGCTTTGACGGAAGCAACTTTGATGGGTGCTCCCCCACGCACGAAGCTTTGTCTAAAATGGGTGCTAGCTTTTGGGCTTCTGGTGCTGAATGCCAGCACAAAAGGAAGGCTTCGTCTATCACATGAGAAGCGGAAAAAGAAAAAGCTAGTACAGACACTGGCGGGTGGGAAAGTACCAACTAAATCACCTTTCTAATTGATAACTGGATATCTAACAAAACCAGAAACGACACAATACTGTTGGAATTAATTCAATTGTAAAGCAGTAATTGAAAATAGAAGCAAAATCACATACCTTCATAGTTGGTAGGAAATAAACTTCTCCTGAGCAGCAGTGTCTTCGGATTAAGAGCTTCACACTGGTAGATAAATTTGGTGTAAGAATCTAAAATAATGTTTAACTAAGGTGATAGATCATTTTCTTATGGTGATACATGCAGACAACTCGCATGTTTTTTTGCAAAGAATGGTAACAAAATAAGCTCAAGAAACTCATTAATTTTCTAAAAGTAAGTGAGCTTAAGTTTACTATTCTCTGGTAACAAGGAATAGCTCTGCTCTCATGTCAAATAATCTCTAAGTGAATGTAAAATGTAAGTTCTAATCATTGTCCATGGGGCATGATCTTTATTATTTTGATAAGACAACATGAACAAGCACTTCATTGGAACACAGAGAAGTACATGATTTCTGCTGCTTGTTTGTTTTACTAACCACTGATTATATACTAATATAAGCAATGATTCTATCTTGTGGTGCTTGGAGATCAACACCATTCTAAAATTCTAGGCATTGAACATCAGTTCTGTCATGTCCTTGAGGACTCAGTTTTCACTTTGCTGCGGAAAAGCTAAATGTGTTAAATAGAAGTTTACCTGCAATAATTAATGGGCAAGGAAAGGATGCAGTAAAAGTGCCAAAGGCTCATGAAGTAGTTCTGAAAGTTTCACAAAATCAGAGACTTGGTGAGGACTCCATCATGTACAATGTTGTGCCTAGCAGAAGACAGCAAAAAGCAACAATGTTGGATCTATAGATCAGCACAGGGGTCATACATAGAGGCCTTTTATGCTGTCTGATAGATTCTATTTCTATCATGTAACTTGGGGTCAAGAGTCTGTGAATAGAGGCTCTGGAAGACCAACACTTACTTTAAATCCTTGATATTTTGTTGCCTACGACTCTTTTTTTCATAGAGAGTGAAAAAGCACTCCCGTTTATAAGAAAGCAGATGCTGGAAGATTAAAATCTGACAAAATACTTCTATAGGGAATGTGAGAGAAAATAATACTGACGACAGAAGACAAATTACTTGTTTACACCATGTCTGTCTATGTAGGTATTTCCCAAATTTCATCTAGTACATTTAGAACTTGAAGCTTAAAAAGGCTTCAATGAAGATTCAGAAAGACAAAAAACAAAAAGACATTTGCACAGTCCTAAAATGCTAACATCCTTTCTCTTCTTTTGTTTGTGAAGCGTAAATGGAGAAATTTAACCCAATTCATTTCCTAACATTTGACATTATTGTAAAATTTAAGATGTCAAAATTTAAGCTTTATCTGTACTTATACACTTAATTAGTTTTGGAGAGACAGTCATGCTTCTAATTCTAGAGGCCAAATTCTTCAAACTCAGATAAATCATTGGTGCTATGGCTTGAGATGATAGGAATAGTGTGGTCAGATTTGTGTTAGATAAGAAAAGAAATTAACTAGTCTTGTTGAGATTTTTTTTCATTGTATTGCAACAGTATCATACAAAATATTATGAGTGTTTTATGGTGAAATTATCTTGGTACTCTTAAAATGGCTTGGGATTGGCAAACCCTAAACGTTTAATGTCAAAAAAGCAAGCACATAATCACCTTAATCCACAGCGATGGAATTCGTCTGCCTTATTTTGGTACTCTTCCTAGCTTCCCTTAGGATTCTCATACTGTCTTCCTGAATTTTCTCCATTAAATTGTTCTCCTTTCCTGAAATGAGATTGGAGGCCACTTTCAACAAATGATAATATTATGGCACCCCTATAGTGGATGTGATTTATGTACGTTACTATCTACTGAATTTGAAGTCAACAAAAAAATGCACCTATTACATTTTTTCTTTGCAATCGTTCAATTAATTGTTTAACTTACCAAATATCTCTTAAAAATGCTAATACAACAGAAGATATTCAGACTAATTATAAGAGTAACTTTATTTGTTTTTCTTGCTCAGAAACATCATGATGCATGAGACAGGACCAAACTTTGTAATATTCACTAGAGTTCTCTTTATGTTATTTTAGTTATTAAAGAAAAGTTAAAGATACTAATGTAACAACAAATATCCAGTTTAATTTTAATAGAAACTTGATATGTTTTCTTACTCCTATACATCATGATATGCATGAGGCAGGACCCAACAATGTCATATCATCTTTACTAGAATTTTCCTTTTGATTAACATGTATGCTGGAATCACATTAGTGTACCTCATGATGACAGAGCAGAATGTCTATCAATATATTTTTTTTCTGTGAAAAAAATTGTGGAAAAAAACTTTTTCATAATTTTTGTTGTTACCAAGAAAATAAAATAAAATGAATCTTGGTAGAGGATATTTATATCTTGAAAATTATAACTAATAAATCTTTGATCTCCTAAGTCCAATCCTGATTCAGTAAGAAAAACAAAATAATTTTCAAAATTTACTTAATCCAAGTGTTATGCATCTAATTTCTCATAGATTTCTCGAAGTTCCTTGAATTAGCAGTTTCTTTGTTCATTATAAGGAAACAACTGCCTCCATCAATTTCTTCTAAATCAATGATTATTCTAACATTTTCCTCCTGCATCACCATCAACAATTAAAGCTGTGGCATGATACATAAACACAAGCAACAAGTTAGCAAAATTCTCTATAGCCAAAAATAAGGTGTTGTCCCAGGTCCTCAGCATCGGCGCCAAGAATACTCGATCAATATTAACTCCAAAAGGCCACCAGTGGTGTTTCTTCAAGTATTTAACAATAATTTATTCAGATATCTTGAAAATTTTTTTATAACTATGTTAAAGAACTGAGAAGCAACACAATTCATAACATTATGTAGCGAGTATATGGAAAGACCTGACAAAAGGTTTCACTTAAGAAGCAACCAAATTATCCAAAGCATAAACTTTATGTAAAATCAACAGACCTCAGGAAAATCATCTGCTTTCTATGAGGAAGTTCATGTCTGTGTCTCATATTGTGCTTTGATTCTGTCAGCTTCAGTTTAACTGACTTTGATTTTCCTTCTCTCTTTAAAAGTGGAGATCCTCCCTTGTTCCTCATCAGTGGTGCAACAGCACTGGTATAAACAAAAGTTTGATTAATTAAAAAAAAGAGCATGAATTTTCAGAAAACCTATAAGAATATCCATGGGAAAATAATTTTCAATAATCCCCTAAAAGAAATAACTGGAATAATGCAAGTGTAAAAGCATAAGTAAAAAGAACCAACTGGCATATTTGCTGATCCAGATTGATTCAATTGTTTGCTATTTTAGCTAAAAACATTGGCCAAATTAGAGAAATCCACTCTTTATACTGCATCCGAAAACATATAGTAACTTTTAGATGGAAGACTGAAAAATGAATCATGCAAACCAGCATATATGATGCCAAATATGGCAGACACTCACCATCACATAATTAACAATTCTTTCATAAATTATATGCATATGCTTCCTAATAAGTTAGTTTAAATTTGTAACGGTATCGAATGTGATAAAACAAGAATTAATGACTGTAGCATACACTTCTTGTCCTGCCATATTGCCCTTCAGAGACAGTTTTAAATCCATGTAATTTCTACCCTGCACAAAGGGTATTTATTAAAAGACAGCATACACAATTATGGAGTATCATATATGAATGCAAATATTGTTTATGAACAAAATACCATGGGTGACTGGAATCTAATTGAATGTTGGATATCTGATGACTTAATACCTCTCTCTCTTACCTGCATAACGTGTAAGAAACCATGTAAAGTATATTGTGCATGGAAACAGGAAATTAGATGCTAATGTCTTGGCATCATGTTTCTTGGCAAACGACAAAAATTCCAAAATGACAAAGAAAACAAAGATGCTGGTATGGTGTTTGCAATCATCATAAAAAAGGATGACAAGTGACTTGACTTCAGATGCATATAGCAACAGGATTATCATGCGGATGGTGTCTGAGACATGATAGAACTACCTCCTTTTTAAAAGAGGTCCTACAGACTTGATACTCGGGTCATGCTAGATGTGCACAAATCTTCTCTTGCAAACTTGTAACCACTGAGGCAATCTCATGTACTTTGCAAGAACTGTTGTTGTTAATCAGCTGATCTGAAATGGAAGCGATGCTTCGACCAAGAAAAGACTTGATATCATCTTCCCACTTCAGCTGTTATCAGGTTTGTTCTAGTTCGTTGATCTTTGTCTTACCAAAGAAAATAATTTTAAAAAAACGTGAAATTCTTGACTTACCAACTGATGCATGGAGTTATCAAAAAGACTAATCTTCTGCCTTATCCCTTCTGCTGAAGAGAAACAAAAAAAATTTATAAAAAAAAATCTCAGGATGTGCTAGAGTTTTAATTATGCAGGCAATTACATACATGCAATAGAATTGCATAGCATAGAATTCAATACAGAAATTTTATGGAATTACCAAAATTTTAGACAATTTTACTAAAATGTTAAGTGCAAGTATACATCTGTCCTACTTGTCTTCAACAGTAGGAACAGTGAACCATGGAGGCTTACCTTCTAATGACAACTCTTTTATGGCTTTGTTTACTCGCATGACATCACCTTGAACAGAGACCAGGATCATTCCAACCCTCTTTAGCGAGCTTTCAATAAGTTGAAGTCTGTGTTCAAGTTCTTCACTGACCTGAACTGCTTAGAGAATTAGAAGATATTCCTTTCATGGTTCACTGAAATGCACTTACATTTTTTTCAAAGCGAACCCTGAGATGCACTTACATAATTTGAAATGTAACTACCTATTCATACTAAACTAATCTTTATATTTTATCTTCAATAATTAAAAATCAGAATATACATTAGGTAGTTGACTTACCATGCCATGTTGAATGTGGTAGCATGTCAATTGTCAAATATCTTATACCTAACTTGCATCTGTTATCCGAGACAAAGGCTGCATTCAGTCGGCGCACAGTGCCAGCTGCCCTTGCTTAGCTGAGATTCCTCTCTTGTCGATGCAATTGGAGCCAATGAGACCATCCTTTTTCTTGAGAACCACATCTCTATACCAAGACAACAAGTTAGAAATAGACAAAAAAATGTACAAAAAATTAGATAATAGGAAGAAATTCTTCACATTAACAAAGCAGAAGACACATAATATAAGTCATCCTGGTCGCTTACTAGATGAGTCATCTCATTAGTTTGTTTTTACAAACTCCTAGTAAGACTGATGCTGTTTCTTAGATGTTAATGACGGAATTAATTTGCACACTTGTTTGATGTTAAAGGCAAAAAATCTACATACTATGTCTCTTGGGAAATTCTACCATCTAATAAAATCAAGATAAAAAGAGCCACCAAAATCACACCGTTGCATTTCATAAGACGGTGTAAGAGAAAGCTTGAGCACAGAAAATACTATTCCAGATTGTCTATAACGACCTCCAGTCCCTCAAATCCTAATCTAAAACAGGAACCTATAAAGTACGACATCAGGAAACTGCATGAAACAATCTAGGGCAAAGTCCCCACACATTTACAAGCAGAGATCGATCTCGACACCTGATTGCCTCCTCAAATGAGCTCCGGGAGAGCTGCGAGAGAGAGAGACATGCCCTGGGAGAACAACTGCTGCGATTGAGAACGGATCTTCCTTCCCACTCCATCGCCTCCAAAGATCATTCCGCCCGATCTCCTAGCAAAGATCGACCAGAAAAATCAAAGAGAGGGAAGAATAACCGAGATAAACTGCGACTAGGGACAAAGAAAGAGAATGATCTGAAAACCTGGGAGGAAGCACGGAGATGGAGCTGAGATCGCAAGCCTTGTTGATCTTTAACTTCATCGGTTCCTCTTCGCGCGATCTGGATCGTAGTAACCTCTGATCCTTGATCCGATCTACCAGAACCAAGGAGGAGATCGGTTTCAAGGAGATCGTAGTAACCTCTTCGTTGTGTCGAGATGGGCGGGTCGGAGAGGTTATATTTATAACCGCAGGATTTGAATTCTCTCTCCGCGGTTCCCAATTTGCCCTTCACGGGAATGCTAATGACAATGATACGTCACACAACTTTTGATGCCGCCTTTCGATCGTTGATCATTATCCACCCTTAGCACATTTATGATCACAATTAGGCGTCAAGCTCATCATCATCACGATCATCATCGACAAACAATATCATTTATTTTTCTTTCTTTTGAGAATATATTGACATTTATTTTGTGAGTGTAGCAAGTTATATTAATAACTTGGTGTCATAAAAAAATTATGATTGAATTATATTAATAACAATTATGAGATTTGTTACAAAGTTTGTCAAACAGTGAAGCCAATTTTTTATATTTAATTAAATATTAAAACACAAATAAAGATATATGATATGCTGTAGCTAATATTTTTCTTGATTTATATGATATCATATATTTTGATTGATAAAGGCGTCAGGTTTATTACATTCATTTCAATCGCCCGCACTAGCCAAGTAGCCAAGCATCGCCGAGACATATTAAGAGCCGTCCATTACTTGATCATTGCCTCCTCGACGCTGATAAGATCACAGGTTGGACGTTGGATGGGGAGGAGATGAGGTTCTTCTAATGTCGGATCGATGGTCGTGAGATTAGATTCGTGCAGGGGGTTGATGATGATTTAGAAGGTGAGGGAAGAAGGAAAGCGATGCCTTCGCCCACGCAAATCTTGGAAGACCCCATCAATTCGCTGATCCAACGATGCCCGGACATGCGAACCCTCCGCCAAATCCACGCCCACTTCCTCAAATCCCCCCTCGGTTCATCCGCGTACGCCCTCTCCAAGATCCTCGCCTTCTCCGCCCTGTCCGCCTCCGGCGACATCGCCTATGCCCGCCGGATGTTCGCTCAAATTCCCAACCCAAATGTGTTCTCTTGGAACTCCATTATCCGGGGATGCTCTCTCGTCCCGGAACAGTCCAAAGAGCCGATTTCCCTCTATAAGCGGATGCTTCGAAGCGGCTTCGCGCACCCGAATAGCTTCACCGTCGCATTTGTTCTGAAAGCGTGCTCCATTGTCTCAGCATTCTCGGAAGGCCTCCAGGTTCACTGCCATGCACTGAGGTACGGCCTCTTCTCGAGTCCGTTTGTCCAGACCGGGCTCCTGAACTTCTACGCGAAGTGCGAAAAGATTGCCTGCGCGCGATGCGTGTTCGACGAAATTTCTGACAAGAATTTGGTCGCATGGAGTGCGATGATCGGCGGGTACGCGAGAATCGGGTTGGTGAATGAGGCGTTGGTACTGTTTAGGGAGATGCAGGAAGTGGGAATTGCTCCTGATGAGGTTACAATGGTCAGTGTCATCTCAGCTTGCGCCAAGGCGGGCGCTTTGGATTTGGGGAGGTGGGTTCACGCATTCATCGACAGGAAGGGAATCGAGCTCGATCTTGAGCTCAGCACCGCGTTGATCGACATGTATGCGAAATGTGGGGCGATAGACAAGGCACGGGAAGTGTTCGACGGCATGGATGTCAGGGATACAATGGCTTGGAGTTCGATGATTGTTGGGCTAGCAATTCATGGCCATGTGAAGGATGCTCTGGAACTTTTCTCGGCGATGTTGGATTCCCAGGTGAAGCCGAACCATGTGACCTTCATCGGCGTTCTATCAGCGTGTGCTCACAGCGGATTAGTAAGCGATGGCCGTCGGTATTGGTCCTCCATGCAGGAGCTGGGCGTTGCACCATTGATGGAGCATTATGGGTGCATGGTTGATCTACTGTGCAGAGCTGGCCGATTGGAAGAAGCTTACACCTTCGTAAATGGCATGCCTATCATGCCGAATTCTGTAATTTGGAGAACGCTGCTGGTGGGATGTAAAAATAGCAGGACTTTTGACGAAGCAGAGACCGCAGCAGAGCAACTTCTTCAGCTGGAGCCACTGAATGCAGAGAACTACGTGCTTCTCTCAAACTTGTACGCTTCCAGATGCCAGTGGGATAAAGTGAGCCGCATGAGGAAGAAGATGAAGGATCATGGCGTGAAGGTCGTCCCAGGATGTAGTTCTACTGAGATCGATGGTTTCGTCCACGAGTTCACGGTGGGTGACGATACTCATCCCGAGATCAGGGAGATCAGGGAGATGCTGAGGGACATCGCAGAGCGGGTTCGGCGAGCAGGTCATGAGCCGTGGACCTCTGCGGTCCTTCATGATGTGGTCGAAGAGGAGAAGGAGAGCGCGCTCTGCGAGCACAGCGAGAGGTTGGCGATTGCCTACGGCATGCTGAAGACGGAGGCGCCGGTTGTGGTCCGGGTGGTGAAGAACCTGAGAGTGTGTGGGGATTGCCATGAGGTGACAAAGATCATAAGCAAGATATATGACAGAGAGATCATCGTGAGGGATCGCGTCCGCTTCCATCGATTTGTGAATGGAAGTTGTTCCTGCAGTGACTTCTGGTGATGCTCGATCTGCATCCTTTTCTTCAATTCTCTGGAGTTGGCCAACCAACACCATGCAAATCATATGCGGTAATCATACTCAGCACAATCTAAATTTCATAGGACTTATTTGTGACGCCTAAGGAGCCATTAAAAGTTATAACAATTCAAAAGAAGCATTCCTATTTTTTCATACATAATGTGTAAAGAAAGGACACTATTTTTTAGCTAAATAATGAAGATGTATGCTAGAGTTTGATATATATTAGATTCTTTTCCTAACTGCTTAAGTATTTATGATATTATCATTGGCGTTAAATGTGATATGAATGATAAGGATAGTAATTATGATAAGACTCGGTTGACGTCCGACGCCTCACGCCTCGATCGGCGCGACTGCACTCGGTCAACCGAACCGGAACACCGACCGAGGCGCATTAACGCCTACTCAGGCGCGGTTCTTCACGCCACGCCAGCGCTCATGTCAGACGCTATCAGCTTGCCTCCTGCAGGCGGGCATATCAAACAGCAATAAGCTTCCCTATAAATACCCTCTCGTTCATCAGAGAAGGGGGGACAAAACACAAACACTTCTGAAACCCCCTCCACATCTTCTAACTTGATCATCGGAGGGGTCGGGTCGAGCGCCCCGACCCGACCTTTGTGCTGGTGCGAAGCCGAGAGTCCCCGTCGGATGCGCGGACGAGGAGTCCCTGCCCGGAGGAAACGACGATCACATCCCGATCGGACCATCGCACCGGACCGACCCCGTGGGCTCGAGGCACGCCCCGGGAGATCCCTGTCATTCGGATCCGAACCGAGCCGCGTCGGCCCCGAGGCCACGGCTCTCAAAATTGCTTACCGCAACAATGAACAAGTTTGCTTAAGTCAAATTAGGCTTCTCATTAAATGTGAAAACCATCAACGGGTCCGATTTTGGTCAATCAAATCAACTAATAGGCTAACCCGATCCCGGGATTAGACTCGTTAACAGTGCCGACTCGGACCGCGGATTCGACACCGATTCCAACTCGGCGTTTGTGTCTTATCCAGATCCCCTTACGGACTCCCCGATCTAAGAGGGTGGTAAAGCAAGTCACCCCACTGTACCGCCGACGAGCCCTGGAAAGCTGGGGAAATGGCCGTCTCTCTTCCTTCTTCGTCGCCGCTGCCTGCTTCTTTACCCTCCAATCTCTTAACTCGTTCTCGGCTCCTCTCACCCCTCTCTCATGCTCTGCAATTGAAGCGCAGTTTCTCCCTCCGATCATCGTCCCTGAGGGTCGGCGCTTTCGCCGCCGATTCTTCTTCGGCTGTCGGTTCCGGTAACTATCGATGCCCCTTCTTTGTTTCTCTTTGCGCGTGCGGATAGCGATTCGAGGTGCCTTGAACTGTTTGCAGAGTTGAGCACGGAGCTGGATGCGGTGTCGCGCTTCAGTGAGATCGTCCCGGATACTGTCGTCTTCGATGACTTCGAAAGGCAAAGATTATCTCTTTCTTCTCCATTCCTTTTCTTTTCTTTCCCCCAATTTTCTCATGTCGTTTGATACTGCGATGTGATGTAGGTTTCCACCGACAGCTGCCACTGTGAGTTCGTCGCTCCTCCTAGGCATTTGCAGCCTCCCTGACACCAAATTCAGAGTAAGAGCTCTAATGAGCTATTTTTAATCTAATTTTGTAGTTATCAACGAGTATGCGATGGGTCACATGTGCAAAAGGCTGACCTTTGTGGGTTTTAGAGTGCGATAGAGACTGCCCTGGCTGACAGCGAATGCTATGAGCAGGATGATCCCAATGACAGGCTTTCTTGCTTCTGTGACAAGGTTTGTGGCTCACTGACTGCAATATTTGCCGAGCCTCTGATTGCTTGTGGTTTCAGGAGAACCATATTTTGTGGATCGGCAGGCTCTTGTCAATGTCGGAGCGGACTTGGCCAGATTAGTTCCTGGTCGTGTATCAACCGAAGTAGATGCTCGTCTCGCTTTTGATGCACATGGCATTGTTAGAAAGGTCTGATTACTGATCTGAAGTCTGCTAGTTTAAGATTATCTGTTGCCATCTGTATAACATTAACCATGGGAGTCTCTGGGATAATACATAGCAAGGTGACATTGTTCTTTATGATTCACTTTATGCTTAATGCCTGATATTTTCAACTTTTTTGTGAGTCAAAAATTGAGAAACTTTTTCATTTTGCATTTCTTGGATGCTTATATGGAAATAACTAACTCTTTTGTAGAGTACTTTTGGTTATTAATGAACTACTCAGTGTCTTAGTTTGCCAAGAATTTGGATTTCCTTTTGTGGGATGTTCTGTTGCTAAAAAGAAAATAAGTGTGCCATTATTTGGTTCAACTTGCTTCTATTTTCACCATCTCCTGATCTTTCCTTATTTATGTTTTTCTAGCAACTGTCTATAGTCATCAGCTGCAAAGATTTGCTTGTTTAAATTGAGTTTTGTTGACCTAGAATTTAGCATCGTCATTGGCTTCTGTTCTAAAACTTTATTGTTGAGTTATGAGTTGCACATTGAGTTGGATTTTGAGTGAGAATTCAAAATTGTGGATTGGCCTTTGTTAGGTTTGGATTAACCTTAAGTTGAGTATTTGATTCTCAAGTTTTGTTAGG